TTATTTTTTTATGGAAATATTTCGGCTTGCAGTTGCCAGTCTTAGTCACTCCTTAATTTGAGTAAAACAGTACAAAGTACTCAAATTAAGGAGTAACCAAGACTGGCAACTGCTAGCCGAAATATTTCCATAAAAAAATAAATCATTTGTTGGAATTACAAGTTTTTTCATTCTTTTAATTATGCAACTACCAACGGAGAAAAGCATCCTAACTGTCATATGGATTGAGTTGGATCTTTTCAAATTGATCTCTTTAAGTCTAAGTTGAGATGATAAGCCTTCTTTTTGTTCAGCGTTCTCTTGATGGTTCTTGAATGGAAGTCAGAGTATGATGTTGGTACCATTACTGAAGGCCTGAATGATCTTTTTCCTTTCGCCATTGCTCAGTGGGGAAGACAGTGGAGCTAACACAAAATGATTTTCACCTATTCTATTTCTAGCTGAATAACTCAAAGAGTCTTTCAGTGATTCTTATGACAAATGGTGTCAAAATGGCTAAATGTCTTATCTGAAAACTTGGGGGAAAAGAAATTCAATTACTTTAGTGGTTTTTTAGATTTTAAACATTTTGTGAGATGGACAATTTTGCAGTTACAGGATTTGAACAATTTTGCTGTTACAACCAGAGTATAATATCACTCCTCCTATATGGCAGTGAATTCTGGATACTCTACTTACAAATGAAGAAGAGACTTGGGGTAACATAAGTGTGGTTTTACAGAAGGATGCTGATGTTAAGTTGTCAAGAGCTTAAATGTACATTTACTACCCAGCACAAGTATTGAACTGATAGCCTTCAGCTAATGTAAACTTGTGCTTTAATAAGTTGACCTGTTCCACATGTAGATGAAATGGGTTCCTCCCATTGAGTTCGATATGAACTTATGGTTTTCTACTGGGGATATATAAATCTATTTGGCTGGTGAAGTTATATCAGATTATAGCAACAATGGTTACTAATTTTCTAGGTTTATGTTAATTGATTTTTTGGCAAATTTACAAGTCAAAATAGGTTTGCATCGTTGATACCAGAGTGTCTTCGGAACCAGGAAATATAGTAGTTAATTTATCTTTCTACCAATTTTGGATAATTTTCCTTAAAAGCATTATTTAGAATTGGTATAATTTTCATTCAACTTTACCAAGAAAGGTAATTATTTTTTGTTTTGCCCTTATCTCTCTTCCCTATAATCATGTTTGTCATAAACGAATATAATTAATAGAATGGGTCTTAATTTTGAAATATGGTTGTTAATTTGGACTGGTGACAAAGTCACTTTAGTCTGCAAGTGACCTGATTAAACTGTTATTAACACATGAATTAGGAACAATTGGATGCAAAATCATTTTAAAAACGATCGATATCAATATCTGTTTATATTTCAGAGAAAAGGTATTGTAAGTATTTATCTTAATTGTCATGTTCACACAGATGAAGAAGGCCAGAGTAGAATGGCTGAAACATTGTGAATGTGACAATAAAGATGAGGACAACAGTTCAAACCATGTAAATAGTATAAATAATCAATATCAAGTTCAATTATTTTAACACTGTGCCCATTTAGGTAATCATAGCACTTTCTATAGATTCCTTTTCTTTATAACCTGTCCTGCATTCTTATAGTCTGATAGTTGTTAAATAGCTTAAATTCACATTTACTACCCAGCACAAGTATTGAACTGATAACCTTCAGATAATGTAAACATGTGCTTTAATAAGTTGACATGTTCCACTTGTAGTTGAAATGGGTTCTTCCCAATGAGTTCGATATAAACTTATGGCTTTCCACTGATGATATTTAAATCTATTTGCTTCATGAAGGAAAAAAAAGGACATTTTGAACTCTCATCAGATTTTTATGTCATGTAGTGTTTTGTAGGTCCTGCTGTGAATATGCGGTATTTTGGTGTATGCAGGATCAAGAGGTGATGGATAAGTTCTTTTGGTGAATGAGCAAATTGTAATGAATGAATGGGTCAAGAATCTGACTGATTAGCACAGTTAATGAAGACCTCCCCACTTTTTTCCCCTGGCCTTGTGCCACAATTCTGTATGTTACAGAATAAATAGTCTGTTTGTTTCATGAAGCGATATCAGATTAGATCAACAGCTGAGAATATCATGAACTGAACATGTGAGCAATTGAAAAGTTTTCGAGAAAATGGAAACAAAAAGGACACTTATACGTAACACCAGAAAGAGATAACTGAAATTTCTAGGGCACATAATGAGGAAAGTGGGCTTGGAAAATTTGATGCACAAAGGACAGATTGAAAGCAAACCAAAAGACAGGAAAGCAACACATGACCTACCTACTGAGCGTAAGTAAATGGATGGCAGGGTTTAGAAAAGGTAACAAAAAGACAACATTTATTAAAAGCTACAAAGGATAGGAAATTGTGGAGAGCAATTATCACCTACTTCCTGGCAAGATATGGCACATAGAATAAGATAAAATAATATATATATATATATTTGCTCCCTTAAGTTATAATTCAATAAGTGGTTAGCATTTATTTAAGTCTGAAATATTTACTGGTTGTGATTTCTCAATGTCTATGCCATTGTGGATGTATGTTTGTGTATATATCGGTGTCTATGTGTATGTAGAGTGTATTCACATTTAACTGTGTGTGTGTATAAGTGTTAGTTTCCACGTCTCCTTTTTTTTTTAAAAAGGGCTGTGGAGTTGTTCATGTATTCCCCCACCTCTTCCTTTTTTTTTTTTTTTTTTTTTTGTGTGTATATTTTGTATGTGTGTGTGTGTGTGTGTGTGTGTGTGTGTGTGTGTATGTATCTAATTATGTCTGGATGCGTATGTATTATAATCTGATTGTGTTTTTGTTGTGTCACTGTGAGTTTAAGACCATATTCACAAACTTTAAAATAAAACGGAAAAGAAAAAAATATATACATGTATTATCAGATGACCGACAGTAATTGTAGCTTTTTGTCTTGTCAGACGTAATTTTAATGAAGAAATGAATTGAATAAACATATATATTTTTTCTTTTCTCAATAATTTTGTAGTTTTTAAACTTAATAGTGATTAAATTTGGATTTTTAAAATTGCCAGTTTTAATTTTAATATTAAATTTTATCATATAAATTTATAATTATTAGTTAGTAAAAATTATTTTTAATATTACACATATTTAAAGATCTAAATAGCTATAATAGCAGGATTTTGTTGTCAAGCTTTTGAATCTTTCTGTACTTCGGTTTTGATTGGTTATTCTAGCTTTTGTAACAATGCTCCCCCTAGTGTAGGATCGTTAATTAATCTGAAACTTTTAAAACCATTTATTTTCTTTTCAACACCATCACTTGATAAGACACAGAGTGTGTTGAAACAAAATGGCTATTTTTGTAGTGATTTTATAACACACTTATGTTATAAATTTTTTTTATAAAAATAATTATATATATATATATATATATATATATATATATTATGAAATGGACAAAGTCTGACAATTATTTTAAGACATTTTTTTATGTTTATACATTCTTTTTTTTTATAGATACAAATATTTAAGTAAATGCTCTGTTTATAATAAACAGTATTAACAACATTTACCGGCCTGAATGTCCGAGAAATTGTCATAGAAAATATGTGTCCTCTGACATAAATCAAACCTGTATCCTATACAGAACGATCATATAGCCTGTTTTTACCGATTTCACCACAGATGAGCATTTCGGTTAGTAAGGTCAATTTCACTGGTTTTAAAATCACAATCATCCATGAATCTCTCATGTACATTCATATCTGCTTGATGCATATCCAAATGTAAACAAATGACATCACACATTATGAAATGGACAAAATCCGACAATTATTTTAAGAATTGTGGTTTAAAAACAGTAAAATTGACCTTGCCAACCGAAACACATTTTCGATGAAAATTTCTCAGACATTCAGACTGGTAAATGTTGTTAATACTGTTTATTATAAACAGAATATTTACTTAAATATTTTTTATTTATAAAAAAAGAACGTATAAACATAAAAATGTCTATATATATATATATATATATATATATATATATATGTATGTATAAATTTGAACAATAAAAAATATTAAAAATTAAAATCTTCAGACACACTGGGTTGTAGATTAATATTCTTTCATTTTTTTTATTATTATAATTCATTTAGATTCCTCGACTAGTTTCGGCCAAAATGGCCATCATCGGGAGAAGAAATATTTCTTCTTGCTGGTAGCAGTAAACTACAGAAATATATATATATATATATATATATATATATATATATATATATATATATATATATACATGATATTTATATATTCATTTCTGATAGTGTAAAGCCCTGTGAAATTTTTTCTACATATGATATAACCTTTACAATATCTTTATATTTAAATTTGTTGTGTTCCAAAAATTGCCAAGATGTGGGTAACAAACTTTGGCAATGTTTAACCTCCTTGCCTGCTAAAAAACAGTGTTTAAAAAGAACAGGTTTAGGTGAGGTAACAAAAAGACAAAATTTATTGCGCTACAAAGAACAGGAAATTATGGCGTGCCATGATCGCCAACGTCCGAAAGAAACACGACACATTGAAATAAAATTATAATTCCTTGCCTGTTCTTTGTTAAAAGTAAATGGCAGATTTAATATAATTATCATAATGACTGCATCAACACCAACCCTGCTTTTTTACTTCCATGAACGGTAGCAGTAGTAGTAGCGACAATAGTGTTAATCATTATTATCTAAATTCTAAATTTTGGATTTTTATCATTTGTTTGGCATGAATATTTTCTGTTCCTTTTTGTTTGGACAATCTCAGAGGAGAAGTGAAGTGTAAATACATAGATAGTCAGGCACACCCATTTCTATTGATTCTTTGAAATAAATATTCTATCATTTTTTTGGAGGGGATGGCGTTTTATTTGTACTCTTCTTGTTTATCCCTCATTTCTACCCTCAGTACATGATTTCTGTTTCATTTTTTTTTTTTTTTTTTTGCAGCTTTGTTTGGTTATTTCTCTTTCTTTCTATTATATTTCCTTTCTGAATATTTTTTCTTTCTTGGTGACTAATTTTCTTCTCTCACTCTCTTTCTCTTTTCCACCTATGTTGCTTATCTCTTTCTTTTTTATCCTTGCACTAACTTTCTTCTAGCTATTTTCTCTTTCTTTTTTTCAACTCTCTTTCTCCCAGCTATTTATTTTTCCTCTCTTTCACCCATTTCTCTGTTTCTCTCTTTCTTCCAGCTATTTTTCTATTTTTCCTCTCTTTCACCCATTTCTCTTTCTGTTTTTCTCTCTCTTTCTTCCAGTTATTTCTCTATTTTTCCTCTCTTTCACCCATTTCTCTTTCTGTTTTTCTCTCTCTTTCTTCCAGTTATTTCTCTATTTTTCCTCTCTTCCAGCCATTTCTCTTTCTGTTTTTCTCTCTCTTTCTTCCAGCTATTTCTCTATTTTTCCTCTCTTTCACCCATTTCTCTTTCTGTTTTTCTCTCTCTTTCTTCCAGCTATTTCTCTATTTTTCCTCTCTTTCACCCATTTCTCTTTCAGTTTCTCTCTCTCTTTCTTTCAGTTATTTCTCTATTTTTCCTCTCTTTCACCCATTTCTCTTTCTGTTTTTCTCTCTCTTTCTTCCAGCTATTTCTCCATTTTTCCTCTTTTCCAGTCATTTCTGTTTCTGTTTTTCTCTCTCTTTCTTCCAGTTATTTCTCTATTTTCCTCTTATTCAGATTCTTCGTCTCATTTCTCTATTTTCCTCTCTATCTTCCAACCATTTCTTCCAACTGTTTCCTTCTATTTTCTTTCTTTTTCTTCCAGCTATGTCTTTTCTATTTTTCTCACTTTTCTTCCACTTATTTCTCTATTTTCTTCTTATTCTATCTGTTAGTTAACTATTTCTTTTTCCCTTTCTTTCTTTCTATTAGATATCTTGTTGTGAGCAAAGTTCTCAGTTTCCAAATAATTTTGAGATTCCACAAACTGCAAGAACTTTCCTTCCAACTAGGCATTTCCCGAGTTACAATACCTCATCTCAGCAATATACACAGATGGAAGTATTTTTCTTTTGTCTATTTTTACTCCCCCAATTTTCTCTTTCTTTTTACCTCACTCTCCCTATTTTCTCTTTCTTTTTACCTCACTCTCCCTATTTTCCAAGTATTTCACTTTTCACCTTTCTTTCTTTCAGCAATTTTATGCTTTCTCTTTCTTCCAGCTATTTTCCTCTCTCTTTTTGTTTCACTTTTCTTCTCTCTTTCTTCTTATAGATCTTTTTGACTATTTTTTTTAATATCATTTCTCAAAGGTTTCCTTCATATAAAGTTACTCCTCATACCCAAACTAAATCAGAGTCAAACTCACACCTGACCTCAAGTGGAATTCCTATATACGATCCATTGCTAAAGATGCAGGTAAAATGAAGGGCTCCCTGTACCTCTCCAGTAACTGCCTGACTCCTCAAGCTGTAAATGAATACTGTTACCACATTTAGGTGAGAGCTGCCCAGACCTCACTTTTTCAGTCTTGATAGCGTTTAAAAGTCTCTAAGTCCTTGTTGGAGAAGAATTATTTTCCACATTCCAACCTCTCTCTCTCTCTCTCAGGTGGAATAGGATGAGCCTCTCACTGCTCTATCACTACTTTCATGGAAAGTGCTCAGACAAACTACATTCTTTGATTCCACCAGGTCTGACCTTCATGGCTAGGACCCACTATGCCACTTACATAGTAGCAAACCACACACATTCCCTCTGGACAAGAAATAACATTATTTACATTATTCGGACTATTGTCCTCATCTTTGTCGCCATATTTATCACAACGTTTCGGCCTTCTTCAGGGTTGGAATGTCAAACTGAACCCTGTTCTAGTTCCACGTGCCATGTTTGATGGATATCAGTTATCAGTTATCTCCTGTTAATTTCCCTCTGAAAGTTCTCCACTGCCTTAACCGGGTATTGAACTCACACTCTTTGGGTCCTGTCACTGGATTTAACCAATGTCTTTATCCAATGTGCCATGTGTCCTTCATCTAGGTATGAATTTCTGGGTATTATAAACCAATAGTCTTCAGCAACCATTTTTACCAGTGCTCATATTGCAATTTTTGCTGTTATCATTGCATGTTTTTACCAGAGCTCATAGAGAAATATAGACAGGCAAGAAGTAAGTTCAACTCAAACAGTTTTTTCCTGAAAACCACTTCCAATGAAAGCAATTTCCCTTCAAATTTATCAACGAGATATTTCCCGTTGAACTTGTGTTAATAGTTGTTTTTTAATCATTTCAATCCAAGTAAGTTGATAAAGCCACTAAGACACAAGGAGGTTTATTGAGTATGAAAGAAAAAATTATTGAAATGACAGTACAATAAAAGAACAGGTATTAAGAAAACAGACAATAAATTTCAACACTGTATTTAATTTTTGCAGATCAAAGTCAACTGGAAAGTAAGAGGCCAGAAGAGAGTTCCACAAGTAATAAGTACAAAAAAATAAATTGTTAGTCTAGAACTTATGGTTACATCTACCCATTTCAACTCTAAAATAAGAGACCTCACTGCCAATCTAGTACTGAGCTTAAATTCATTAAGTTGTGATAGCAAAAAGGAAAGCTTATCAAAACAATTATCATGAAAATATTTATAGAAAAGATACAAGGAAGCTTTGTTATGGTGACTGAAGCAGAGATGCCATGTCAGGACCAACAACATTGCAGATTCTTCCGATTTTATCAAGAATCTCTAAAGACATAGAAAAAGCACCAGGCTTGAAATAGCAGCAATATTCAATTCACAGACGAATGGTAGACTTATGAAGATTTAAGATAGATTCGGGTGATAATAATTCACTAATAAATCAGATTAATTTTTCATTGATTCAATGGATTTTAAGAAATAATTTAAATGTGCATATAAGTGTGGATAATTCTACTGGCATATGCAGATCAATGTATTTATAGTGATCAGTTCAGTTCTTATCTATTCCAGTTATATAAATATTCCGTCTACCTAAGATGAGAATTAAGAATAAGCTGAACTGCATAAGTTAACAACAATACTATATCAAAAGTAATAGAGTACTTGGAAAGAGAGAGGAAAAATTGTTTGTTATCCACTCTCCAAAATCCATGATAGGCATTAGTTTATCTAGGATATGATTACACGTTAATGAGACAGAGGAAAACATTAAAAACAGATATCAGGCCAAAAATGGAATACTGCTGCCGTATTTAGGTGGAATCTGCCCAATCCACACTTTCCAACTTCAACAGAGTTCAAAAGTGTCACGGAGTCCTTTTGCGTGACAAATTATTTTCCACCCTCCAACCTCTCTCCCACAGGTGGGATGTGATGAACCCCTCACTGCTTTGTCACTACTTTCATGGAAAATGCTCAAAGTTTGCTTCATGTAAAGTTACTTCTCATACCCACACTAAATCAGAGTCAAATTCACACTTGAGCTCAAGGGGAATTCCTATATATGATTCCTTGCTAAAGATTCAGGTAAAATGAATGGCTCCCTGTACCTCTCCAGTAACTACCTGACTCCTCATGCTACCCTCTAATGGCTAAATGAAGCTGTAAATGAACACTGTTACCACATTTGGGCGAGAGCTGCCCAAACCTCACTTTTTCAGTCTTGATAGCGTTTAAAAGTGTCTCCAAGTCCTTATTGGAGAAGAATTATTTTCCACGCCCCAAACTCTCTCTCTCTCTCTCTCTCACAGGTGGGTTGTGGTGAGTCGATTGCTACTTCCATGGAAAGTGCTCAGACAAACTACAATCTTTGGTTCCACCAGGTCTAACCTTCCTGGCTAGGCCCCACCATGCCACTTATATTGTAGCAAACCCCACCCACATTCCCTCTGCATTCCATTGATGAGAAGTCAGTTTCACTCGAACAGTTTCTTCCTTCAAATGTCTGCTCTGTGATCTGTACTCCCTGATCTTTACAACTTTAACCTGTTCAAGTCTAGGATAAACTGTTATCTCCCCCTACTATCTGTATAAACTGCCTTTTAACATAAGCCTTTATCACAAGTCCCAGGGCTTGTACAAGGTGAACCTTACTGCAAAAAAAATTCAAGGAAAAAAAAAAACACAATTATAGTAGTCGGTATGAAAAAAGGACTAAGAAGAGAAAATATGGAATGTGGTAACTGGTTATTGCTCCTTATCCATCAGAGCTCGACCAAGGTGTATAAATAAAATTACTGAGCACACCAAATAAAAAGAAGCCTAAAAAAATAAACTTACAGATGCCTCAATAAAATACTAAGACAAGTATCACAGTAAGTTCACACAACCAATCTTTTTGTTTAGACAAGGTTGTTTTGATTTAATAAAAATATTTCATGATGGCGAACAGAATGTGATCTGCATGAAAAAAGAAAACATATCCTTGCAGAAGGATACTGGGCAACCTACAGTTTTAAAAAAATGCCCTGCAAATGTAGAACAAGATGTGTTGGCACACTTATGCAAATCATCAACCCTTTCTAATAAATGACAAGACTTATGGAATAATTACCTTCTTCAAAAAGTTGATTTGTCCAACTTATATAGTTATCATCAAACTGACATTCACATTAATATATGACAATTTTAATGATGGATATGTTTTTGAATTGATCTCAACATAGTTTGAGAAGGTAACATGTCAATTTGCCAAGAAATAGTAATGCCTAACATAAAATAGAAATAGTAATGCCTAACATAAAATAGAAATAGTAATGCCTAACACTGTTCAAGATGTGCTTAGCAATTCTCACCACCAGCTTTGTCACTCCACAGCAATTTAAGATATATAGGACATGTTTTTGGACAAAATCTCTTAGACTTATGGAACTGTGCAATCTTAGTATTAATTACAACATCCAGAGAATAGCTAATATGGCAAAATATTTTTGTAATTCCTGTTCTAATATATTTATAGAACAAATCAACAAAGCCCAATTTGACTATGGTCTTTACAAGATTAATTTTATACCATGTGATACAAGGTTTGGTTTGGTTTGTTTTACAGCATATCAACCACAATGGGTAATATTATTTTTAAAAAGGATTTCTAATAATATTTTTTCAAAAATGTACTGCCAATAATATTTTTTTTTTAAATGTATTGCTGGTAATATATTTTATTTAAAATGTACTTCTGGTAATACTTTTTGTTTTTTTATATGTATTGCTGGTAATTATTTTGATATTTTTAAATCTATTGCTGGTTAATATATTTTTTAAATGTTTTACTGGTAATATTTTTTTTAAATATATTGCTGGTAGTAGTTTTTCAAAAAAAGTATTGCTGGTAATAATTTCTTACAAAAATGTATTACTGGTATTAAAACCTATTTTTACATGTTTTGAGTCTAATTTGGGGGTTAACCATTTGCCCTAACAAGTGCTATCACCCCAGGTCAGGGTGGACCTGGGAACACCAGCAATTAAGAGGTGGTTCTACACTCCTCAAAACCTCCTGATCAGAGGCCTTGCTGTTGGATGTAGGTTATCATGTTAACCAGGATGCGGATACAGTTTATCATCATACCAAGGGCCCTGGATGTAGTTTATCATCATATCCAGAATGCTGTGATACAAGACAAAGTCTTTTAAGTATGTAATTTCATAAATGTCCGATTTCAGTACACAGCTGTAACAAATTTAGAATTTTGTCTTTCTACTATAACATCCAAGAATGTTTGCGTATCATCACTCTCCCTTCTGCAAGTGAAACATATGCAAATTATTTAAAACTTCATGAAACACCTTTGCCTCCAACCTACTATTAAACACACAAAAAGTGTCATCAACTTTGGGTGACATACAGGGGTTTGTTGATGCCTGGGGCCAACTCCTTGATTGCATGGAGGAAGATCCCTTTCTGAAAGGAAC